TGTGTGTGTGTGTGTGTGTGTGTGTGTGTGTGTGTGTGTGTGTGTGTGTGTGTGTGTGTGTGTGTGTGTGTGTGTGTGCAGGGGAGATGGCTGACTTGTTTGACAGGGTAATCAAAGTGAGATGGGGCCAGATAGAGCCTGGATATCACACAAGAATCTTACTCGATGCGGCAACACTGAGTTGTGAATGAAAACAAATCCTGAATTCATGTTGTATGCATATTCAACCGCTAACATAATCGGGAAAGCGTCTCATTAAATATTTATCCCAACAAACATTGAATTCATCTTAAGATGCGGATGCACAAAAACAAAGCAAAGAAGCAGAGGTACAGTACTACTGTATGTAAATTCATTTAGACTAAACTCTTTGGTAGAACATGACAATTTTTTTTTTTTTAATTTCACATTGGCTGTTTTTGTCTAGCGTTTCGCGGCCCGGAGCCGGTGTCATAATCGAGGTCACGATCTGATTATAGGATGGTAAAAAGTCGAGGAAAAAAACATGCATTCGCAGCAGTCAAGATATTAATAGGAGTCAGTTCCCCAGATGACACAGTTTTAATAGCAGGCTCCGCAAAGGACCTTCAATTGCTTCTAGATACTGTTGTAACAGAAAGTGAACGTAAAGGATTATTGTTGAATGTAAAGAAAACAGAATGCATGGTAATATCCAAAAAAGCAGCAAATCCTAGTTGTAATCTCATTAGCAAAGGTGAAAAGTCCAGCAGTTTAAATATCTAAAGTATATGATAACATCAGAATCTGATGCCAAATGTTCCACATAAATAAAACGGAGAACTACAATGGCTAAGGCTAGTTTCAATAAAATGAGCCCAATCCTGAAAAATAGAAACATCTCAATGAACACCAAAATGTCCTGAAATGCTATGTTTGGTCAACCCTTCAATATATGGCTGTGAATTTTGGACAGTCACTAAAGACAGTGAAAATAAAACAGAAGCAACAGAAATGTGGTTTCTTATGAGACTGCTGAGAGTATCGTGGAGGGAAAAGAAATCAAATGAGGTAGTGCTTGATGAAGCCCACGTGGGACGCTCAATGTTAAAAACAATCATGAAACGACAAATGCAGTTTTTTGGACACATGAATAGACATAGGGTCTTGAACATCTAGCTCTCACTGGCAAAATTGAGGTCAAGCAAGCAGGGGTAGGCCCAGAACAACATACTTCGGGAACCTAAACAAATGGGTTACAGAGAAAGATCAGGGAAACGTAGCTTTTTTTAGAGCATCCGAGCAAAGGAATGAATGGAAAACCATGATCGCCGGTGTCTGTCGCAGATCTGGCACTGGATGATGATGAAGAGTTCCCCTCACATCTATGAGGTAGACTCGACTAGTGTAATAGTTCGCTTACATAATCAGTGCTCGTGACTGCTTATAACTGTGGCCCGAAAGGGGTGAACAGGGTATATGTGGCAATGAAACAGTTTTGATTGTTGCACACATGTTTCCTCTTTCACAACTCTTTTGGTAGACTCTTCCAGCCTCACTGTAAGCTTACTTAATCAAAGCTTGCGACTGCTTATGGGGTGGCACGATAGGGGTAATCATGCAATTTCTGTGGCAATGAAACCGTTTTGAATATTAGGCATACTGTTCGTTGGTGATTATGAGCGTCTTTTTACATTTAATGTATGAGGTTTACGTTTATGGGGGAATTTGACAGCGGCAATGTTTCAAAATTAGGAAGGGAAGCAATGATTATTTGATTATATAGACGCTTCGTCACTCTGTGTGTGTGTGTGTGTGTGTCTGTGTGTGT